ATTTGGCATTACATTGTGATTTTCTTGGGTTGTTGAATGAACAGTAAATTCCAAGGAGGAGATCTAATGGTGCTTAAACTAAAGTAGGATTAGCTGTAGTTACAAAGGTATGTTTAATTCTTATAGTTTTTTTATTTATTTCCAAATCACTTTCATATGCAGTATTTGTCTGACTTCTATGAGGTTTACCTATTTATTAAGAACCTCCAATCAATTGATTACTAAGAGTAGAAATTATAATGAAAGTTATAAGGAAAGAAACATGTCATGGAGTGACATTTTTGGTTTCTCTATGTTGGCGTTTTTCACCACATGGAAGTGACACCATCTAATTTTTGTCTTTCTCTTTCTGACTGATTTCACTTCCAGATACATCCATATTGCCACTAATTGTATACATTTATCTGCTTTGATCACTGAGTAGTATTTAATTGTGTATATATACCATTCTTTTTGATCCATTCATCTGTTTTCAGGCATTTAGGTTATTTCCATGTCTTGGCTATTGTAAATAGTGCTGCAATAAATATGGGAGTGCAGGTTTCCTTTTGTGTTTTTTTTTTTTTTTTTTTGTGTGTGTGTGTTCTTTGGGAATATTCCTAGGAGTTGAATAGCTGAGTCATATGGCAGTAATTTTTAGTGTTTTGAGGAACCTCCACTCAGCTCTCCATAGTGATTAGGCCAGTCTAAAGGTTTCCCCCCACCCCCACACCCTCAGCAGCTCTTCTTATTTGTGTTTTTCATATGTGCCATTCTCACAAGTGTGAAGTGGTATCTCATTGTGGTTATAATTTGCATTTCCCTGATAATAAGTGGTGATGAACACTCATATGTTTGTGGTCATTTCAGTTTCTTCTTTGAAGAAGCGCCTATTTAACACTTCTGCCCATGTATTGATTGAGTTGTTTAATTCTGTTGAGTCTGTGAGTTATTTGTAGATCTTTTAATATCAACCCCTTATCAGATACACAATGTGCAAATATTTCCCCTGATTCAGTAGGGTGTCTCTTCATTTTGGATAGTCTCTTTTGCTATACAGAAGCTTTTTAGTTTTATGTAGTCCTAGTTGTTTATATTCTCTTTTTGTTTTCCTTGCTGCTTGAGACAAGCCCTCATAGATGTTTCTGAAGTTAATGTCATGAGTGTATTGCCTGTTTTGGTCTCTGTATTTTATGATTTCGGGTCTTTTATCCATTCCCTTTTATCCATTTTTGTTGATTTTTGTGTACAGTTTGAGATAGCAATCTATTTTCATTGTTTTGTATGTGGCAGTTGAGTTTTCTCAGCACCACTTGTTGAGGAGATTTTCCTTGTTCCAGTGTATACTTTGCTCCTTTGTTATAGATTAGTTGTCCATAAATGAGTAATTTTTATATGGCCTCTCAATTCTATTCCATTCATCTGTGTATCTGTTTTTCTTCTAGTACAATGCTGTTCTAATTACTTTGGCTTTATAGTATAGTTTGAGTTCAGAAGTGTGATACCTCCATGCTTTCTTGTCATATGATTTGATTATTTTTTTCTTTATTTATTTTTATGTATCTGGTGAGTTATGTCGATTGATTTTTTAAAAGATTTATTTATTTATACATACAAGAACTGGGATCCAAGGAAGAGGTGAGGGAGAGTGAGAGGACTCACCAGAGACAGAGCGGGGAGCAAAACAGGCAGACTGACTGAAGTACACTGCAGAGGGGAGCAGTAGGCAAGACAGGAGAGGTCAGCCATGCCATGTGGTATCTCCCTGACCAGCTGGGATCAAACCTGCTCTGCAGAAGCTGTGGACAGCTTCACAGAGCTGCTTTCAACCACTTGTGCTACCAGGGAGGCCTGTTGATTGATTTTTGGATGTTCTATCATCCTGTGTCCCTGGTATGAATCCCACTTGTTCATGATGCATAATTCTTTTAATACATTATTTTATTCAATTTGTTAAGAATTTATTCATGATTTTAGCATCTATGTTCATTAGAGAGATTGGTCCATAGTTTTGGTTTCTGTGTTGTCTTATTTGGTTTGGTATTAGTATGATGTTGGCCTCATAAAATATATTTGGAAATATTGCTTTTTCTCATATTTTGAGAGTTTGAACAGGTTAGGTATTAGTTAATCTTTCAGTGTTTTTGGATCTTGTGTATGAAATCATCTGGTCCTGGAATTTTATTTTTTAGAAGAGTTTTGATACTCTTTCAATTTCTTTGTTGTAATGGTTTTGTTCAGGTTTCTGTTTCTTTCTTATACAGTCTTGGGTGAGTGTATAATTCTAAGAAATTGTCCATCTCATCTAGATTGCTGAAATTGTTTGTATATAGTGTTTGTGGTAATGTTTATTATCCTCTGATTTCTGCCATGTCTGTTGTAGTTTTTTCTCTTTCACTTATGATCCAGTTTGAGTTTTCTAACTATTTTTCTTTGTAAATCTATATAGATCTTTATTTATTTTATAAAAAAAACAGATTTGTGTTTCATTGATCTTTTGGACTTTTTGATTTCTATTTCATTTATATCTTCTGTATTTATTCTTCCTTCAACTGGTTTTGAACTTTTTGTTCTTTTTCTAGTTTCTGAGGTGAGAGATTAGGGTAATTCTTTGGGTTCTTTCTTGTTTATTGATGTAGACCTGTATTGCTGTAAGTTTCCCTCTAATATGTTCTGGAAAATTTTTGTCTAATGTGTTTGTCTCAAAATTTTTTGTCTAATGTGTTTGTCTCAAAAATTCTTTGATTTTCTCAATAGTCCACTGATCTCTCAGTAGTGTGTTATTCAGCCTCCACATATTGGATTTTTCCCTTGTTTTCCTTTTGTAGTTTAGTTTGATACCTTTATGGTCAGAGAAGATATTTGGTACAATTTCAGTCTTCATGTATTTGCTGATATTTGTCTTGTGACCCAGTATATGGCTAATCCTAAAGAATGATATATGTGCCTTTGAGAAAAATATGTTTGACCCAGTATGTGGCTAATCCTAAAGAATGATATATGTGCCTTTGAGAAAAATATGTATTTGGTATTTTTTGGGTGTAGCTTCCTATAAAGGCCTGCTTATTCTATATGCTCTAGATTTTAGGCTAACTAAATAAAATCTATTCATTCGCTTATTTTATTTGTGTACTTTTTAAATTTTCTGTCTCATTGATTTGTCCATTAGTGAGAGAGGGATATTGAATTTTCATACCATAAATGTATTTTCTTCAGTGTTTGTTTTCAAATTTGGTAGTAATTGTGTAATGCGTTTTGGTGCTCCTTCTTGTGGTGAGTATATGAGTGTTATGTCTTCCTTGTGTGTTGTTCCTTTGCTGATTATATGGTGTCCATGCATATCTTGTCACCATTTTTATTTATTTATTTTTAAAGACCAAGGTAACTTTATTTTTTTTAAAAAAGATTTATTTATTTATTTATACAAGCACTGGGTATAGTCAGAAGTGTGGGAGGGTGAGAGAATTCGCCAGAGCCAGAGCAGGGAGCAGAGCAGGCAGAAGGACCAAAGTACACTACTGAGGGGAGCAGCGGGCAGCAGGAGAGGTCTGTGTGCCATGCGGGACCCTCCTCCAGTGGCCGGGGAGCAGCTGGGGATCGAACAGGCACCACATAGGCTGTGGGCAGCTTCGCAACCCAGCGCTTAACTGCTGTGCCACCGGGAAGGCCCTCTTGTCACCATTTTTAGCTGGAAGTCTATTTTATCTGATATAAGTATGGCTGTCCATGCTTTCCTCTGGGCGCCATTTGCCTGTACAATTTTTTTCTAATCCTTCACTTTCAGTCTATTCTTATATTTGAACTTAGGTACATTTTCTGGAGGCAGTAGAAGGTTAGATTCTGTTTCCTAATTCAACAAGATACTCTATGTCTTTTTGTTGGTGAGTTTGGCCTATTGATGCTTACAAAGATTATCGATGTGTTGCTTTCATTGTCTTCATAGTTTTTTGATTCTGCTTAATTCCTTGGTCAGATTTTTGTGTTCATTGCTGTTTTTGGTTTAAATCCTGAAACTTTTAATATTTCTTGGAGGGAGGTTTTGATGGTTGTAAAGTTTTTTGTTTGTCTGAGAAGGTTCTTATTTCTCCCCCATATAGGAAGGAGACCTTTTCAGGATAAAGTATACTTGGCTAGCATTTTGTCTTGGGGTATTTTGAATATGTCAGTTCATTCTATCTTTGCCTATAATATTTTGTTAGAGTACTTCGATGTTAGCCCTATTAGTTTTCCATTAGAGCTTATCTATCTCTTCCCCCGATAAGCTTCATTATTTTTTCTTTGCCTTGAACTCTTGGAAGCTTTACTACTAGATTTCTTTCTGAGGATTCCTTTTTATTTAGTTTTCTGTGTTTGTATGTTTATTTTGGTCTTCAAGTTTGGGAAGTTTTCCTCAATTATTTTCTTTAATAGTTTTTCAGTTCCTGCCTCACTCTTCTGAGAGTCCTTATTGTTATATTTTTCCTTTCCTCATGATGTCAGATGATTCTAAGTGATTATTCATTCTTTCTCTTCTCGTTTTTTTAAAGATTTATTTATTTATTTTTTTATACAAGAACCGGGGAACAGGCCAGATGTGTGGGAGGGTGACAGGATTCTCCAGAGACAGAGTGGGGAGCAGAACAGGCAGACTGACTGAAATACACTGCTGAGGGGAGCAGCGGGCGAGTCAGGAAAGGTCTGCTGTGCCATTTGGGTAGCTCCCTGGCCAGGAATCGAACTTGTGCTGCAGTGGCTGTGGATAGCTTCATAGTGCTGTGTCTTAACCCCTTGACCACTATCTGTCATGATCCTATACACACTTCTCTGTATGTTTCACTTAAAATATGCTTAGAAAATATGTACTTGCTTTAATATTGACATTTCATAATCATTTCCTTTTTCTTAGGTTTATCATTATGAGATACAATAAAGTAAAGCCTGAGCTATCACAAAGCCTTAAATTTGGCTTTTGCATGTTTTCTACATATTCTAAAAAATTATCTTATTTTTATTTTTCCAACCTTTGTCTTCCTTCTCCACAGACTCTACATTGATGGTCCCTTTGGAAGTCCATTTGAGGAGTCACTGAACTATGAGGTCAGCCTCTGTGTGGCTGGAGGCATTGGAGTAACTCCATTTGCATCAATACTCAACACGTTGCTGTATGTCATTTTGATCAAATTCATTAGTTCACATAAGGAACTGTCAATATTGATGGCATCTCTCTTTTAGTATGAAGTCATACCTTATAGAATCCTTCTACTTGTTGTTCATGGAACTCCATTTACTCATTGATAATGCCTAATATGTGATATATGACTTTCAGCATACTCTTTTGTGAAATCTTTCAGTATCACAACTGTGTATTTCTCTTTCTTTCCTCCATTAGAGGCATTCCCACAAGCCTTCATTTTTCTACTTACTCATCAGTAGTATATGGCACTACTCATTCATTCAGCCAATACCTTGTGCAAAGCACCTATGTGCTTATCCATCTTATAAAGGCTGGTAATATAAAAATAATTGAAACAGAATCCCTGTACTTAAAAAAAAATTAAAATGGGGCAGCTAGAAAATAAACCACTGAAAATTTCATCAGAACATTTCACTATTTCATATTGGGACTATGATATAAGTAAGAGAGATATACAAGATATAGAAATCAAAGGCCAAGTTAATTATTGATATTTTGTCAGGATAACGTTCTCTAAGATATTAATATATATGTTCCCTTATTCTGTTATTCAGCAATGTTATGACTAATGGAAGAAAAGAAATTTCAAAGTGAGATTGCAAACCAAGAAATACATTTCAGTTATTTTAATTCTAACATTAAAAGCAAAAATATGAATTGATTAGTAATATTTGTCACAACACAAATAAAATGACAGGAAGTTACTCTTAAATCCCTTTCATTCACTTTTTTTTTTAAGATTATTTATTTATACAAGCACTGGGAAGTGCAGAAGGGTGAGAGAATTCACCAGAGCCAGAACGGGGAGCAGAACAGGCAGACTGACAAAATACACTGCTGAGGGGAGCAGCGGGCACAGCAGGAGAGGTCTGCTCACCATGTGGGACCCTCGCCGGTGGCCAGGAATCGAACTGGTGCTACAGAGGCTGCGGGCAGCTTTGCAACACAGCACTCAACCACTCTGCCACTGGGGAGGCCCCCTTCCGTTCACTTTTCAAGATGATAAAATTAAATTAAACATTTTTTTATGCAGTACTTAAAAATAAATAATTTCAAGCAATGTGTTTGAAAATATTTTATTTAAACTTAAAATACTTGTATCTTCTTAGAAAAATATCCAATATGTTGCAAGTTATTTGGACAGCTAAAGTTAAGGAAAGGGAGGAATATTTTCTTAACCACAAACCTTCTTCATAATTATAAATGGAAATCCAGATTTGGGATTATGAGTTTCAGAAATGCATTACATAGTAGGTGGTTGTGAAATCTCTTTAATTATTTTTAAGAAAAGGAAAAAAAAAACAACCAACTATCTGGAATGGTTTTGGCTATTTCTGGGTATTTCTGGGAAATCAGGGTAAGACCATTGGAGCCCCATAGAGTGACTGAATGCACTAAAAATAGAAAAAAATAAATTCTTAGATTCATGGCTGATATTTTGTTGCAGCAGTTTAGTTGCTTGCCTAAAACTAGAAATAGGTGATGTTTATATAATATCACAAGAATAAACACTTAAATTCATGGTGTCTATCCTGTCTTTGAGTTAGTATGTTGCATTTTAAATTCATCTGGAAGTTATTATAAGTGCTATATGAGAAGCTACAATGTTAATGGCTTTTTTTTCCCTATTGGTTGCTTACTAATAAGAAGCAAATTTTGAAGGATACAGGGATCTTTATTTGTTTTATTTTAGCCATCCTAATCATCATCATGTTACTTTAATTTTAAAGGGATGACTGGAAACCATACAAGCTTAGAAGACTCTATTTCATTTGGGTGTGCAGAGACATTCAATCCTTCCAGTGGTTTGCCGACTTACTCTGTGTGTTGCACAACAAGGTAACATTAGGATTGCGTTGTGTTCCCAGTTTGTAAAATTTCAAAACATAGCTACTATTTTTTTTTTCAAAATGTCAAAGTAGTAAATTACTTCTGCATCTGCACTTAAACCAGAAAATATGCAGACAAGTATTAAGGAAGAGAGAAAAAAAAAACTTTAACTTAAAAAAAGGAGACAAGTCTATTAATTATTTGGTACACATCTTTTCAGATTTTGATATCTGTATGTATTTATCTATGAATTTTTTAACATAGAAATACCATAGTGGAATTTCTGTTTGTTAACATGTGTTTTAACATGTATTCATTTGGTTATTGTTGTTTTTGTTTGCATTGTATGTGTATAGATATGATTCAGGCAAATTTATGCACGTAGGATGGTATAGGAAGACAGATAGAGGGAAACATCAGTAGATAAACACTACCACATCTTCCAAACTTTGATTCTAATAGCTCATATCTCTTGTTTCCACCTTTAATATTTCAAATGTACCATCACCAGACTTTTGACGCAAGACACTGAATTTCAAAAATCCCAAATTCTTAAGTTTCATTTCTTAGAGATGAAAATAGGAATTCATTTCCCCTACATTTTTTTGTATATCTATTAATATAGCTTTATTTTTTCAAGATATACACACAAGTATCTTGTAATATAGTTCAAGATCTTTTTTTTTTTTTAAGATTTATTTATTTATTTATACAAACACTGAGTACAGTCAGAAGCACAGGAGGGTGAGAGAATTCACCAGAGCCAGAGTGGGGAACAGAACAGGCAGACTGACGAAATACACTGCTGAGGGGAGCAGCGGGTGGCAGGAGTGTTCTGTCATGCCATGTGAGACCTTTGCTGCTGGCCGGGGATCGAAATGGCACTGCAGAGGCTAAGGGCAGCTTCGCAGCCCAGCACCCAACAGCTGCGCCACCAGGGGAGGCCCAGTTCAAGATCTTTAGATAAAACAAACTCCTCTCTTACTACTTTATCCATCTGTTATATGTAGCCAGAGATAAATATGTACTGTTTATATTTTCCTGAAAATTATATTTTATACTTATTACTATCATGAATGTTTTTAATAGTAGTGCATATATGTGTTTATTTATTTATCTATTTATTAAAATTTATTTATTTATTTATACAATCACTGGGTACAGTCGGAGAGTGAGAGAACTCACCAGAGCCAGAGCGGGGAGCAGAGCAGGCAGAAAGACCGAAGTACACTGCTGAGGGGAGCAGCGGGCGGCAGGAGAGGTCTGCGCGCCATGTGGGACCCTCCTCCGTTGGCCAGCGAGCAGCCGGGGATCAACCCGGCACTGCAGAGGCCACGGCAGCTTCGCAACCCAGCGCTCAGCCGCTGCGCCACCAGGGAGGCCCAGCATATAGGTTTTTTTTTTTTTTTTTTTTAACTGCTAAAGAGTATTTCATATTTTGGATGTTTCTAGTTAATTTAACTATTCCCTACTGATGAAATTTTTCTAGTTAATTTAACTATTCCCTACTGATGAAATTTGCTTTTTTTATTATAGAGTACTGTAATTAATATCACACATTCCTTTTTGTGTAGATACATTCATTTATTCACTCAATCAGTTAGCTATTCTATCATTCATTAAATATTTACTAACTGCCTTTTATAATCAAAAACTGTTCTAGGAGCTGGGCTACATAGGAGATCATAAAAAAAGCTAAGTTTCTGGTCTCAGATGATTTATATTCTAAGTAGGAAAAATAGACAACAAATCAATCAATAAATATCTGATTCTGATTAGAACAAGAGGAGAAAAGAAAATTGGTGTAAAGCAATAGAGAGTAAGCAGTAGAGTACGGTAATTTATATTATGTGTTTGGGAATATTCACCAAACACAGTGTTAACTAAACAGATACTTGGGTGACATGAATGAGCAGATTATGCAGATATCTTTTGGGAAAAATAAGCAAAAGGATTCTATTTCACAGGCAAAGACTCTGATATACTAGTTTGCTTGATGGGTTGCAGGAAGTTCAAAGAGGTCTGTATGGACAAAAAAGGCTATGCAAGGGGAGGAATGGTATAAGAGAGAATCAGAGAAGTATATTACGGTTGCTTCTGGGTAAAAAATAGATTATATATAGCTTATGGGGGTTAAGCAAGAAGATGTAGACTCAACGGGCAGAGGAAACATAATTGAAAATAGGCATTTAAACAAATATTTGTACACCAATGTACACAACATCATTACTCACAATAGCCAAGAGGTGAAAATAACCCAAATGTTCCCAAATGGATTAATGGATGGAGAATATTGCACCAATGGGATATTGTTTAATCTTAAAATTAATGACACTCGGACATGTTACCATATGAATGAAACTTGAAAAGATTATGCTAAGTGAAAGGTCCAGCACAGTAAAGAAAAGGAGAGCCAGGCCAAGCTTTCTCAAAGGAAGAGAAAATTGATTGAGCCCTGGGTGGACCTCACAGACTCAAGGTAGGGGTCAGTGAAGTCGCGCATGTTGTTAGGGGGAGGCAGGCTTTTATAGGGTGAGGAGAGGTCAGGTGGGAAACTGGGTTCATATGGCAGGAAAAATTTGTAGGGCGCAAAAAGAATTGTAGGGCAGGGGAGAGTTTCTTTGTCTGAAAAAAGATTTGTAGGGCAGGGGACGGGGGCAGGTTCATTGTCTGAATCTTCTAGGCAGGCTTCTGCATTCCTGTTCCCAGGTGGGCAGCCCGGTGGGTTTTGCATTCCAGCCTCCTTCATGGACCTTTCACTAAATCATTAAAGCAACCACAAAAGAAAAAAATGTTATATGATTCCATTGTAGGAGGTACCCAGAGTAGTGTAAGTAGAGTTCCAGAGTGTATAATGGTCATTTCCAGAGGTTGGGAGGGATGTGAAAGAAGAGTTTTGGTTTAAGAAGATGAAAGATTCTGGAAATGGATGTTGATGATAGATGTGTAACAATGTGAATGTATTTAACGCCGCTGAAATATTTGTTTAAAAATAAAAACAGTTGAAATGGTAAATTTTACATTATGTATACTTTATCATCATCAATAGTCCAGGCAACTGGGGTCCAACATGGACCTACTAAATCAGGGGAGAAAAAAGGGAGAGATGAGAAGCCATTGGAAGGATTTGGTCTGAGTGATCTGACTATATATGCTTGGGGCGTGTGAAAGTAAAGAGGATTGGAGGACTGCACTTTGCTACAGAGCAGGTGGCACCAACAAAGGAGATTGGTTCAGAGTAACTAGTGAGGTAGTAGAAAATCATCAGGGAATTCTTTCGTTGAGGGAGAAAAACCTTTCTTTTTTTTTAATTTATATATATTTTACATCATTGTTCATTTTTGCTTTTCCACCCCCTCAGGTGTAATCCCCATAGAATTTCCTTCCCCAGTGCACCTGTGCACCATGACCTCAGTCCCTGTGCTCCTCTCTCCCTCCCTCTGATATCCCTCTCCCTCCTCTCCTGCAGGATGTCTCTGGTTTATAATTGTCTGGTTTTGCTTTGTTGTGTTTTATACTGTTGTTATTTTTTACACTGATGTCTTATTGGGTTCCCCTATATTCCTCCTGTAAGTGAAACCATTGGATATTTTTCCTTTTCCTTCCTACTTATTTCACTGAGCATAATTCCTTTAAGCTCCATCCATGTTGCTGTGAATGGTAGTAATTTATCATTTTGATTGCTGAATAGCGTTCCATTGTATATATATACCACATCTTCCTGATACCTTACCTATTTTGAGGTATTTGAGCTGTTTCCAGGTTTTACCTACTGTCAATAGTGCTGCAATAAATATAGGGGTACAGGTGTTCTTTTGAATCAATGTTTTTGTGTCCTTTGGATAGATCCCTAGGAGTGGAATTGCTAGGTCGTATGGTAGCTCCATTTTTAATAGACTGAGGAACCTCCAGATAGCAATGTAGGAGAGTTCATTTTCACCACATCCTCGTCAATATGTGTCGCTGGTTTTTTGTTTTTTTTTTTATGTGCCATTCTTACTGGCTTAAGGTGGTATCTCATTGTGATTTTGATTTGCATTTCCCTGATTGTTATCCTATGGGTAATAAGAGGTTGCAGATTTTAAAATCAGCCCTTAAAAGCTGACCATATAACTGAGGCCTCGAGAACAAGGTAGGGAGAGTACCCACAGACGATATGTGGGTATTTGTGCTGGAGTCAGTACACCTGAGGGGGAAGCAGCAAAATTCTATACTTCAAAAACACTTAGAAGATGTAAGGTGATGGCACTTAAATTTGAAAAACAAAGTAATAAAACCACAATGCAATAGTACCTCACATCCCTGAGACATGCATGTATCAAAATAACCCCAAACAAGTGTTAGAGAAGATGTGGAGAAAAAGGAACCTTGTTACACATTTGGTGGGAATGTGAACTGGTGAAACCATTATGGAAAACCATCTGGATTTATCTTAAAATATTAAAAATATAAATACCATATGAGCCAGCAATCCTCCTGAGCATATATTTTCACAGAATATGACGCCATCAACTATATAAACCATATTTTCTACAAAAATCACAGCAGTATTGTTTACAATATCTAGGTCATAGACGCAGCCTAAATTTCCTTCAATAGATGACTGGATCAAAAAGATGTGGTATGTACAAACCATAGAATATTACACAGCCACAAGAAAGGATGAAATGCAGATATTTTCAACAAAAGGAGTGAATTTGAAAAAAAATATATATATGTGCAGCCAAACATGTTCAAAGGATAATGCAAATACATGATATTCATATAGCAGGCAATTCAACAACAAAAACATTTATAAAAACTAGTATACATCAGGCCTCCCCGGTGGCACAGTGGTTGAGTGCTGGGCTGTGAAGCTGCCCGCAGCCTCTGCAGCACCGGTTCAATCCCCGGCCACCTGGCGAGGGTGCCACATGGTGCGCAGACCTCTCTTGCCACCCGCTGCTACCCTCAGCAGTGTACTTCGTTACTTCTGCCTGTTCTGTTCCCCGCTCTGGCTCTGGTGAATTCTCTCACCCTCCCACACTTCTGACTGTACCCAGTGCTTGTATAAATAAATAAATAAATCTTAAAAAAAAAAAAAGGCAAAACTACTATACATCAACAAATATCCTGAGAGGTCAGAAGATAAGAGGGAAGGGACAAGGGAGTGCAAGAGACAGTGTTGGGGAAAATAATTATTTACATTAAAAAAAGAAATTTTATTTTTTGTTCAGCTAAAGTGCATTTATTTCCAACAGAAACAACAGAACAATTCCAGGTGGCACTTAACTTACTGAAAAAGACCAAATTGCTAAAAGGATGCAGTACCATAAATAAACATTTATAAAAGTTTGTCAACTCCATTGAAGTGTTTTTTTTTTTGGACTTTACTCTTTTCTGTGCTCCTCTGAATCTCCTCCTTCCAATAATAAGTATGGCGTATGGCAGATTGTTGATGAGATAGATAGATAGATAGATAGATAGATAGATAGATAGATAGATAGATAGATAGATATAATACATTCCTATCCAATCCTATTCTTAGGACCTGTTTAATCTGATATGATAGGGTGGTTGACCCTATCAACAGTTAGCCAAGGCCCTTGTGGGTTACTTTGAGCTAAGAATGGAGTTCCAGACCTCTGATATTAACGATGTGAAGTTTTCCAGGAGCTTCCAGTCTCTTTGGTAACAAATAGTGAACTGCTTCAATTCCAACTGGGTTGTTGTATGTTTCAGTCATGGGCCATCACAAGAGCCACCAAACAGATTATCATGTTTATGTCAAGCCTCCTTGGAGAGAGAAATTCTTTAATAGTTGAACTAGAAGGGTCAGTCAGTACAGAGATGCCTTTGGGCACCAAATAATAAACAAACAAACAAACAAATAAATAAATAAATAAATAAAAGAAATGAAATCAAACATTGGGAGTTTAATGATGTCCTTCAGCAATCACCAATCAATATGTTTTTTTTCTCTTGCTGAAAAGGCTATATTAAAAAAAGAAATTTTAAATAAAGAAAAGAAACTGAGGCTCAGAGAGGTAGAAGACTTGCCCAAGGTCACACAGGAATTGACATTTCATGGCAGGACCAAGGTTTTCTTCTATAAATTTAACAGATTATTTCCCTCTACCACCATCAAAATACCTAATTCTGCCAGTTTGCAGATTACTGAGATTAGAATCTGGCATATATATGTGTGTACATACACACATATAGGTATGTACACATGCATATGTATGTGTAATATATATACATTTGCTTTTAGATTTTTTTAAGATTTATTTATTTATTTATACAAGAACCAGGGTACAGGCCAGATTCATGGGAGGGTGAGAGGATTCACCAGAGGCAGAGTGGGGAACAGAACAGGCATACTGATGAAATACACTGCTGAGGGGAGCAGCGGGTGAGACAGGAGAGGTCTGCCATGCCATGTGAGACCCTCACCAGCCCTCCAGGATCGAGCCAGCACTGCAGAGGCTGTGGACAGCTTCACAGCATGGTGCTCAACCGCCTGTGCCACCAGGGAAGGCCCTGCTTTTAGATATTGACTATAAGACAAAATTCATCTTAACAAATTATAGACTCATATATGTAAGAAGAGGAGAATATTTGAATATATGAAATAATTTTAATAAATCTATTTTTTTTTGTCCTCTCAGTTTTGGCAAGAGAACAGGCCTGATTATGTTAATGTCCAGTTGTACCTCAGTCAAACAGATGGGCTACAGGTATGTGGTTAGATGTTATTATAAATTAAACAAGATTTTTGATGATAGAAAATTCACTGAAAAAACTATAATGGAACAGAATTTCTGCAAGTGTTTTAAAGAGAAGTTTCCCAGAGGGCACCCACTCTCAGAATGTGTTCAGAAAACTCAACTACATATGCCTTTCATTTCTTATCCTTGCAAGGAACAGGAGCTGACTTTTCAAGGTCAACTCTCTCTCCTCTCCTCCTCTCTATTGTCTCAAGTTCTTTGCCTCTAGAGAGCAGACCATCAGTGAACAGTCTTGTAATTGTGTTCATGGAGGAAAGATTTTATGTGGGGAGAGAAGATGAGGTCATACACAATTAAGCTTACTTCCCTCAAGGGAAACTAATAAAGTAGTAATAGCCATCACATGTTATTTACTCATTGTCCTAGATACTGTGACAAGTATTTAACATGCATTTTCTCATGAAATTCTAATGTTTAAGAAAAATATGATATTGCTTAGTATCTCCATATTACTGATTAAAAGTTGATATTGACTTGCAACATTGAAAAGCTGAATAGGTGCATAAATCTGGGCATGAAAGCTTTCACAGACTTTATTGTACTATTTTTGATCACATTTTCTATGATACATTGAATACAAAATTAGTATGCTTGTAAGTTACATCATATTTAAATTAACCCTAGTTATTAGTTATATTTCTACCCTAATGTGGGTTCCTATGAGCTGGCTATTAGCTGGTGGCTCATGGGCAACTGTGACCTATTTAATATCTACAAATCACAGCAGAGAATTCCTTTACTACCTACAAGTATAGCTCCTATCAGGAGTCAGTCACAGGACACCTAAGCTGCTGTTAATATTACCTGACTCTCTCCATGTCGGTCTCAGATAATTCTTCCTGGGATGACATCAAATTCTTCGCCGACACAAATGGCTGTTGACATAGAGTCATGATGCCCCTTTAATGCCCCTCGTAAAACTCTGCCCCCATTCCTCTCCCACCCTCTGGACTTTATTCCTCATATCATTGTCGCATGATCAGATTTTACTAGCCCGTGTGCTTTAATAAATGACACAAGAACTTCTGCTCAAGTAGCAGAGTCTTGCCTTGCAAACCTGCTCCATGACTGCTGTGTCCCTCATCCTGTTTCTGCTGCAAAGGAACAACAAAGTTCCTGTTGCAACACCCTACTTGATATGTAAAAATATTTCTTTTTTACTACTCTCACGAAGAGATTCAATATTGTCACTAGTATTGTCATAGTATTATTAAAATTGAGGCATGGAGCATAAGTTATATTTATTTATTAGCTTGTTTGCCTGGGACTCACACATTTTCTCCTTTCTGGTCTTCCCTCTGACTCTTTACTGGGATTTCAGATTCTGTTAAGTGCAACAATAGCCCATTAGAAGTTACTTGTTATCAGATCTAAGACAGAGCTCTTCTGTTTTGGGCTGGCTTGTGCAGGATCAACTCCCCAAATTTATGATGATAAGATTTGTATTGCATTACTTGTATTACTTTACTCCTATGACAAGAGTTATATGGCAACTGGATATGTGGTGCACATACACATCATTAAAATTTATGTACAGTGTCTGATTTTGAGAGTGAACAGTTCAGAACCGGTCTTTGTCTTAATATTTCATTTCTTTTTTTTTTTTTTTTTTTAAGGATTTATTTATTTATTTATTTATACAAGCACTGGGTACAGTAAGAAGCGTGGGAGGGTGAGAGAATTCACCAGAGCCAGAGCGGGGAACAGAACAGGCAGACTGATGAAGAAGCACACTGCTGAGGGGAGCAGCGGGCGTGGCAGGAGAGGTCTCTCGCGCCATGTGGGACCCTCGCTGGCGCTGGCGGCCGGGGATCCAACTGGCACTTCAGAGGCTGCAGACAGCTTTGCAGCCCAGCGCTCAACCACTGTGCCACCAGGGGAGGCCCTTAATATTTCATTTCTTTAGATTTGAAGCAAGCAATTGAAGTGTAGTAAAAATAGGCCATTTAAATAGTGACACTCAAGAAGATAAAGGATTTTAAAGAGAAAGCAGAAGGAAATGATGCTTCCAAATAAGAGTATTTAATAATATGTCATTTGGCACTTGTGGTCTTTATATCACAGCAATTTGGTCGGAAGCACACTATCAGCAGAAATGATGTAGAAAAATATGTTGTTTGTACAGTGCTGGGTCATATAAAATATAGTGCTTTGTTTTTGACAGAAGATAATTGGAGAAAAATATGAAGCACTGAATTCAAGACTATTTATTGGACGTCCTAGGTGGAAACTTCTGTTTGATGAAATAGCAAAATGTAATAGAGGGTAAGTACTATTACTATCAAATTTGACATGTGGCTAATGGCCAAATTCAATATTTTTTAGTCATTATATGAAGTTTTAAAAGATAAATTAGTAATAAATACACAAAGTACAAGTCACATAAGGATTTAATTGTGATAAATTGGATGTGATATCCAAGGAGGGAAGCAAGCCAGTTATCAGGTTTCAACTTGATTATCTGTAATGCCAAATCAAATTTGGCTTAGAAATAGTCTATAATTCTATAAAATTATCTTACCTACTTTTATTTTAATTTTTAATTTTTTTTTGGCTGTAACATTGGTTTACAGGATTATGTAAGCTTTTCAGATGTGTTTCCAAACCACACCAACTATCAAATCACCAGTAATTCTCCACCACAGACCACTGGGACCCCTCCACACTTTACTCTAAAATCACCCCCTTAAATACCTTCAGTTCTACGGTCAGAGCCCAAAGGTTTATTTTGATTTGATAGTTCCTTTTCTTTGTCCCCTTACGTACCACATATGAGTTAAACCAGTATTTTTTTTCCTTCTAATTTATTTCACATAGTATAATCACCTTCAGTTCAATTCATATTGTTCCAAGTGGCAATATTTCATGTTTGTTTGTGGATTTTTTGGTTGTTTTTTAAATTTGTTTTATAGCTTTCCACTAAGTTATATGTACCACTCGTTTGTCTTTGGGCACATAGGTTGTTTTCACATCTGGAATAAATAGCATTAGTACTGCTAAATGAAGACAGAAGTGGGTATATTCCTTCAAATTAGTGTTTTCATTTTTTTTAAGATCTATTTATTTACTTATATAAGCACTGGGTACAGTCAGAATTGTGGGAGGGTGAGAGAATTCACCAGAGCCAGAGCAGGAAACAGAACAGGCAGACTGACGAAATACACTGCTGAGGGGAGCAGCGGGTGGCAGGAGAGGTCTGCTGTGCCATGTGGGACCCTCACCTGCGGCCGAGGATCCAACCGGCACTGCAGAGGCTGCAGGCAGCATTGCAGCCCAGGGCTCATCCGCTGCACCACCAGGGGAGCCCCTGTTTTCAAATTCTTTATAGAGATACTTAGGAGTGGTTTTGGTAGATCATAAGAAAGATTTCTATTTTGTACTTAGAGAAAACTTCAAATGGTTTTCAGTATAGTGTATATCCCATCAACAATGTATGAGGGTCCCCTTTTTCCAAAGTCTTACGAACTTTTGTTGTATCTGATGTTTTCTTATGGACTATTCTATCAGGTGTGGCATGGTTTTAATTTGCTTTTCCTTATTAATAAATGATGATTAACATTTTTTAATGTGCCTGTTGGCTGGATATGTATGTCTTTGAAGAAGTGTCTTTTTAGCTGTTAGGTCCTTTTTTAGATTGGCTTATATTTTTGTTGTTGTTGAGTTTTATGAGTTTTTTTGTATATCTTGGATATTTTCCCCATGACAGATATAGTACATACAGATATTTTCTCCAGATTGAAGGGATCATTTCATTTTAATGATAGCTGTTAATTTTGATGTGCAGATGTTTAATGAAATCCCATCTGTTTATGTTTGTTTTTTTATCACTTTCCATTAGAGTATAATTCCCCAAAACATCACTGAAACCAATGTTTTTTTTTTTTTTTTTTTTTTTTTTTTTTCCTATGTACTTTAGCTGCTAGTGTTAACACATGTCTTTAGTGCATTTATTGTGTATGGGGTGATACAGTGGTGTACTTTTATTCTTTTGCATTTGACTGTCCACTTTACACAACTCCTTTGTTAAAGAGACTTTCTCTTCTCCAGTGTATATTCTTAGCGTCTTTGAAGTAAATGAACTGCCCATTTAAGCTTATTTTGGAGCTCTTGTTCCATTCCCTTGATCTGTGTGTCTATTTTTAGTCCAATATCATCTGTTTTATTTATTGTTTTGTAGTATAGTTTGAAATCTGGTAGTGTTATACCTCCATTCTTTTTCTTTTTATCACAATTACATTTGTTATTTGAGGTTATTTTGTAGTTCCGTACATACCAATAATGTCTGTTGTATTTCCTTGAAGAATGTCATAGGAGTTTTGATAGATGTTTTGACAAGAAAGCAATCTTGTCACTTGCTTTCTCTTCCTTTATTGGTATGATCATCTGACTTCTATCTTTCCTTTTCTTGATACCATGAATTACACTAATTGATTTGTAGGTGTTAAAAAATCCTTGCATCCCTGGTATAAATTCTACTTCATCATGATGTATGATCCCATATATACATAGCTGGATTCAGTGTTAAAATTTTGTTGAGGATTTTAGTATGTCTCTTCATCAGAGATATTGCTCTCTAGTTTTCTTTCATTTATGTGATGTCCTTCTCGCCTAATTTTGGCCTCATGAATTGTCTTTGGAAGGATTCTATTTTCTCCAAATTTTTGGAAGATTTTTGGAAGAAAAAGTATTTTTTCATCTTTGAGGGCTTAGGAGAAACCACCTGGTTCTAGGATTTCATTTTGGGAGGAGACTTTTGATTACTATTTTAACTATGTCTTTATTCTGTCTTGGAAGGCTATATTATATTAAGAATTATCTATTTCCTCTGGGTTATCAGATTTATTGGCATAAAGATGTTCATAGTAGATTCTTTTTTTAAGATTTATTTACTTATACATACAAGAACTGGGGTACAGGCCAGAGGTGTGGGGAGTGAGAGGATTCACCAGAGACAGAGTGGGGAGCAGAATAGGCAGACAACTGAAATACACTGCTGAGGGGAGCAACGGGCAAGACAGGAGAGGTTTGCTGCACCATATGGGTTTCTCCCTGGCCGGCCAGGGATAGAACTCATGCTGCAGGGGCTGCGGACAGCTTCACAGTAGTGTGCTTAACGTGTTGTGCCAACAGGGAGGCCCTGTTCATAGTTGATTCTTACCATCCTTTATATTTCTGTGTTGTCATTTGTAACTGAACCTTTTCATTTCTAACTAAATTCATGTCTGTTTTATTTTTTCTTATTTCTATTTATTTACTTATATTTTACATCAGCATTCATTTCTGTACAATGTCTGCTTTATCCTCTGATGTGTATGTAGTCCCCATAAAATTCCCACCATCAATTCAACCGTGAACTATTGAACTATCACCATATTCCCATATCCTCTTCCCTACTCTGTTTTGATCACTCTCCCTCCCCCTCCCCTGCAGAATGTCTCTGATTTATAGTTGACTATTATTTTTTTATTTATTATTTTTCCCTATCCCTTATTTGTTTCCCCTATAATCCTTCTATAAGGGAAAACATCTGATATATATATATATATTTTTTTTCTTTTTCATTCTGGCTTATTTCACTGAGCATAATCCTTTACAGCTCCATCCATATTGCTGCAAATGGCATGAGTTTATTTTTTGATAGATGAGTTGTATTCCATTGTGTATCCATACCCATCTTGATCAAGTCATCTATTTTTGGGGTATTTGGTTTGTTTCCAAATCTTGTCTATTGTAAATAGTGCTGCAATAAACATAGGGGTTCAGGTATTCTTTCTAATTAATGTTATTGTGTTCCTTGGATAAATTGCTAGGAGTAGAACTGCTGTGTCATATGGTAGATCCATTTTGAGTAGTTTGAGGAAGCTCCACACAGCTTTCCGTAGTGGTTGGACCAGTTTCCACTCCTACCAGCAGTACAGGAGAGTTCATTTTTCACCATATACTCGCCAACATTTGTTGTTGCTAGTTTTTTGCTTTTTTTTTTTTTTTATATGTGCCATTCTCTCTGGTGTAAGGTAGTATCTCATTGTGGTTTTGATTTGCATTTCCCTGATTATAAGTGATGTTGAACATTTTATCATAAACCTATTGGTCATTTGCACAGAAACACTAGCCAAAATAATAAACCACTTTGGTAAAGTAGCAGGATAAAAAATCAAAACACAAAAATCAATAACCTTCCTACATGCAAATAATTAATCTGAAGAAGAAGAAGTTAAGAAAACCATCCCATTTACAATTGAAACAATCAAATACCTTGGAATAAACATAACAAAGAACGTGAGTGGCCTATATAAAGAGAGTTGTAAAATATTTTAAAAAGAAATCAAAGAAGACACAAAGAAATGGAATCCCCTGCTCATGGATTGGAAGAATTAACATTATTAAAATGGCCATCCTACTGAAAGCAATTTATAGATTCTATGCAATCCCAGTAAAAATCTCAATGATATTCTTCAAAGAAATAGAACAAATAATGATGGAATTCTTATGGAGCCATAAAAAAACTCAACTAACCATAGTTCTCTGACTAAAAAGGAGAATGGAGGTAGCACATTCCCTGACTTCAAATTGTATTACAAAGTCATAATAGTCAAAATAGTGTGGTACTGGAACAAATACAGACATACAGAACAGTGTAATCAAATAGAAAACCCAGAAATAAAGCCATACATACATTTTTGGACAACTAATTATTGACAAAGGAGCAAAGAATATGCAATAGAACAAGGATAGTTTGTTCAATAAATGGTGGTGAGAAAACTGGAATGCCACATGCAAAAGAATGAAACTGGACTACTACCTCACACCATGCACACAAAACTAACTCAACATGGATAAAATAATTGAACATAAGATCTGAAACCATAAAATAAGAAAATATAAGTAAAACACTACATAACGTACATCTCAGTAACATCTTTAAAGACTCATCCCCTAAAGCAAAGAAAGTAAAGGAAAAGATAAATAGTTGGTATTACATCAAACTAAAAAGCTTCTGTACAGCAGGAGACATTGGCTGAAACAAAGAGACACCCTACTCATTGGGAGGGGATTTTCACACTCGGTACAACTGACAAAGAATGGTCACAAAGATTTACAGAGGGCTCACATGGCTCAACAAGAACAAAGAAAACAATCCAGTCAAAACAAATGGGCAGAAGAGCTAAAAAGACACTTCTGTTTTGTTTATTTTTTAATTATGTACCATATTATTATTGATTTCAGCATTCCACATATTTATCGTGGAAGAAATAATTTTGGCT